ACTGCTCATGAAAGGAATGGCCTTCTTGGTGTGCCGTGACCTGGCCGGCACTGCCGTGTGACATGGAAACCTTGTGTTTCAGCAGAACCCCGAACGGTCTCGCCATCTGGGAGGGCTTGGGAGGGTTTCCTCCCCCGAGGGTCCACATACAACGCGCTGCAGATTCCAAACCACCCTTTCCAAAAGGAATTTAGAGTTTTGTGGGGTGTTTGGGGCAAATAAATGTTAGCCACATAGGGGAACCGAGCCCAGGAGACAGACTGTGCTGTCACCATGGAGGTGAGGAAGTGTCTAGAAGTCGGGGAGTTACGGTGACGATGGGGGACAGCCCTCAGCCTCGGAGTGGGGGGATCTTTGCTTATCACGTGCAGTGTTAGATGTGCCGTTGGCGTTAACAAATGATGTCGTCATGTGTGTGCCTCGCTGGGTAGCCGGCTCCATGATTACGACCTTGTCCCTCCTCCCTGCCCTGTCCCTGTCCCTGCACCTTGCATCCAGTCAGCGCATGCTCACTATGCGCTTCTTGAATGAGCTGCTGCTAATGTGAGTGAATGAGTGTGCTCAGCCTCACAGCCCCTTAGGAAGGACAGGCTCTGCTTCTGTGTGCGATAGGAGGTGATCTGGGCAGTTGCCCGTAGCTGTATCCTGGTGCTCGAGTGATTTCTGAAGCTCAGGATTTGCTCCTCTGCCGGTTTCTGTTTGGCAAGAGATGATTGAATAGCGAGGAAATCACCACCCTCCTTCGTGCTCTGGTTGGTGACTCTTTGGTGCTGTGTCTGGGATGAGACCATGCTATGTCATTACTCTCGGACACAGGGCAAAAACAACAACAACAACAAAACAAAACAAACACCCTTTTTCTGTAAAGGCCCAGATAGGAGACATTTGTGGCTTTGTGGGCCACACAGGCTCTGTCGTAACCACTCAGCTCTGCTGTCGTGGCACCAAAGCAGACAGAGCCAGTATGTTAGTAGTCATGGCTGTGTTCCAATAAAACTTTATTTATAAAAGCAGGTGGTGGTCCGGCTTTGGCCTGCAAGTCCTGGTTTGTCAGCCCATGTACATGCTCATCATGCTTTAATTTTAGCATTATCACTATGAACATTTGTTCATGATCCTGTTCTTGCTGTGTCTAAGAAAAAGTTGACTTGTTTTAAAAAACAAGACATTTTTCCAAAATTTTTAAAAGATGTGTGCCATTTGGGGTGGGAGGGAGGTGGAATATGTGTGCATGGAACGTGGCTGCTTCAAAGGGGGCATGGTCCTTCCCCAGACCCGCCGGCTCTGCTGTCACCGGCCCCCTCCTGCCCCAGCTGTCCTGTCTAGCCAGGACCCCTCCCACGTAGCCCCCGAGTCCCTACAACCCTCCTCCAGCCTGGCCCTGGGGCTTGGGGGCTACTAGTTCCACACCTGCGAGCTTCTCTTCCTCTTGCCTCAGCCTTGATGCAGAGGCGCAGACCGAATCTCTGCTGGCTTTTGCCCTAGAAACTCTTTTGAATCTTTATTTTCCTACCAAAGACACTGAGTGAAATCTACAGTTTTCAGCCTTTAGTACCCTGCCCCTTCTTTCACCTTCCCTCCCCAACTTAACTGTCTTTGTTCCAAGTTAAAAGATCATCACAAGGTGGAAAAAACCCAAAGCTTTATAGCCACCATTTTTCATTCCCATAAGAGGATGTTTGAGAGTCTAGAGAGGCCCGTGTGAAGGAGTCTTGCTCACGGTTTTACTGGTTTTCCTCGAGGAGAGCTAAAATGCCGGTTGCCAAGCAACACACATGCCCTGGCTTCTTCCAACAATGTGGACTTGAAAAAAAAAAAATCGTCCTGTGATTGACTCATGAATGGGGAATCAAGTGGAAATGCACCGGGCAGACAGTTTGGTGTGACAACGTTCTGTCTTGATTCTGGCCCCTTTGCCTGAGGACTCACACGTGGCCACACAGAGAAGTGAGCAGAGTGTGTCCTCAGCAGCGTTCACCTGATTAATAAGCATTACATGAGGGATTTCAAAGCCTCGTGGACCCTCGTCACTTGCGGATTCCATATTTGCGAATTACATTCAAAACCAATGCTAGCGGTGTGTTTGCGGTCATTTGCAGACATGCGTGGTACCCAAACCTTTGAGTGGCTCGATGCACATGTACCCAGCTGAGGTGGGCAAGCCAACACTCTGCCTCCTTGTTTTGCCTCTCTTCCTGTAAACCAGGGCCCTTTGCAGGGTTATTTAGTGCCATGTTGTTTGTATTTGCGTGCTTTTTGGTGGTGGTTTTACTGGCCCCCAGCACAGTGGTCCCCAGCACAATGCTGTGGGGGTGTCCGTGTTCCTTGGTGCAAGAAGGCTGGGATGTGCCTTACAGAGAAAATATATATGTTAGAGAAGCTTGGTTCAGGTATGATCAGTGTTGTTGGCATGAGTTCAATGCTAATGAATCAACAAGATGCTTCATCCAGAAAAAGGAAGAGGGGATTCACTGATCTATACATCAGGCTGCTCTAGAAAGTATAAGGTAACCTCTAAAGTGTGTGATGAAGCTCTGGGGAAAATGGCTATATTTGTGGATCCGTAAGAGGACTGATAAAATTCTTTTTTAAAAAAAGCGGGCTCCTGGGTGGCTCAGTCGTTAAGCATCTGCCTTTGGCTCAGGTCACGATCCCAGGGTCCTGGGATCAAGCCCCCCGTCGGGCTCTCTGCTCTGCGGGAAGCCTGCTTCTCCCTCTCACACCCCTGCCCCCCCCACCACTTGTGTTCCCTCTCTCGCTGTCTTTCTCTGTCAAATAAATAAAATCTTAAAAACAAAAAAACAAAAAAACACAGTGGACAATCTTGTGAGGCTAAAAGCCAAAGAAATTTATGTTCATATTACCCAGAGTCAGGAAAATGTTAAACCGTTCTCAGCTAGTGTTCTATTATAATGAAAGGGTGCATATAATTTATAAAATTTGTAAGAAAGGTGTGTTAAATTAGGTGACTTTAACCAGGAACACCTGGAACAGGGTTACATACTGACCCATTGCTGGGTGCTGTCCTGAGCAGGGTTCACAACCTCCGTGTTCACAGAGACTTAGACGAACATGACCACCACGAACAGTAAGAACGAATGGACTGAAAGGATCACAACTTCAGCCTAACGGGATCTGTGTTCCACTTGAAGACACGGGAAAAACAAAGCCTGGGACTCGCCCCGATGCTGTGTCACAGCTCAGCGTGTCTGCCGGGGGTGGGACCGGATTTCCCGTCTGGCCATCACTGGTGGCGTCCCTGGTGCGCCTGCTGGAAGTTAAGTGTTGACCGCTAGGCCTGGATCCTCCGGCACACCCCCCTTACCTGTCCTAGTCCATTAAGGGGGCTAGAACAGAATACCACAGACTGGGGAGCCGGTGGGGGTGGGGGGCTGAAACCACAGATCTTTATTTCTCTCTGTTCTGGAGAAGTCCAACAAGGCACCGGCAGATCTCGTGTCCCGTGAGAGAGGTTTCCTGGTTCACAGAGGGCCACCTTCTTGCGACAGGGGTGAGGGAGCTCCTGCAAGTTCCCTCATTAGAGCCCCATTCCCGTTCATGAGGGCGCCACCCTCATGACCGGTCCCCTCCCGAAGGTCCCACCTCCTAATGGCATCACTCTGGGGGCTAGGTTTCAACCTACGAATTTGAGGGACATAAACAGTCCGTCCAGAACACTCGCCTTGCATGACTTTTATCACTAATGACTTCTCTTGAAGGGAAACCCTGCTATATTTTTTAAATTGCCCAGGACCTGAGCCACAGCAAGCCCGGCCTCCCCAGTTGATGCCTTAATTGGTTCCAGGTGGAAAGGCAAACGATGGCTTGTCTATCGGGATCTTCCTCCCTGAAGGCCTGATGCAGGTCACGTGTGAGATGGTTTCCCTGTGTCCGAGGCCTAATCTCTGCTGACAGCAGCCTGCCTCTCACAGCCGGCCTGCCGAACTGGAAGGCCCCTCTCCAGGGAGCTCTGCGGAGGTGGCTGGCAGACAGCCTGGTGGGGACGCGGGCGTGAGGACAGGACCCTTGCACCTGGTGTCATGAACACGACACAGAGCTGTGCACGCAGAGCACGGGAAACACAGAGGCTGCCTCTGCCCTCGGGATCAGGGAAGGCTCCGGGGCGGAAATGACATCTGGCAGCAGTTGAGGGGATGAGCACTGATGATGATGTAGGCAGAAGCCTTTAAGAGCAAGGCAGGGAGAATGCGGGGACGAGGGTAAGAATGGAAAAACAGGAGTCATTCCTCCAGGTCAGTTTTTGAAGAGCCTGGAAACACCTCATTATCACCACTCAGGGCCCCGGCCCTACACGGCGCCTGCAGAGTCTCCAGAGGAGGGCTTTCTAGAAAGTTCCATGTTCCGTGGCTGGCTGGCTGAATGCCTGGGGCGATGTCTGCGTTGCCCCACTTGAGATCAGGAATACATATACCTTCTTCTGCATTTCCACTGTGTACAAATACGAGAGTAAGAGACAATGGTAATAAAGCACCTGCAACTCTGCAAACCGCGTACGTTACAAACACGCAGATCTTCCACGCGAGTTCATGGCTGGCAGGCTGCTTTCCCCTGCAGGGACTGCTTGCGTGCAGACACTTGCAGAGAATGGCCGTGTGCGCAGACAGCCTGCCGATCACTAGCCACAGAGCCGTTCTGTCCTGCTCCTTCCTCTCTTTCTATCCCCAGGTCCCGTTATGCGCAATGTCCTGTGTGCGCGCAGACACACAGGATTACCCAACGGCAGGACAGCAGGGCCCAGGGAGATGTTTTGCATGGAGTCCATCCTTGGGTTTGGAGCCCTAGCTCAGCTGCCAACTACAAATAGCCCCATGCTAAAAAACAATGCTCATTAGTATGCCATTTAAAAACAATGGGAAAAAAAAAAAACAAAACCCTGCGGCCCACAACAACAAGAGCCCTGTAGAGGCCCGAAGTCCCACCCTGACAGCCAGAGTGAAGCCTGGCCCACTAATGCAGCCCTAATTCACTTTGTCCGGCAGAGAGAGCAAGCTCACCATGCTGCTGCGGGAGTCCCTAGGGAACGTGAACTGCCGCACCACCATGATTGCGCACATCTCGGCCGCCGCCGGCAGCTACGCTGAAACCCTGTCCACCATCCAGATTGCCTCGAGGGTCTTGAGGATGAAGAAAAAGAAAACGAAGGTAAGGAGCTCCCGGGAGGTGCGGTGGAGGAAGGCGCTTTGGGAGCCCGACTGCGAGCCCCCAGCCCCAGGGGCAGGGGTGTGCGGGGCTGCCCACGCCATCTGGCGGTCACTCAGGGCAGGAGAGCCGTCAGGCTGGCGATGTCCCATTCCCCTGACAGTGGCCGGTCATCCAGCCCGGACCCCTACCCGGGAGTGCTCAGCCCACTTTTAGGCAGTTTGGATGGACTGCTACTCCTTTGTGATGAAGAATTGGCCACGGATGAGAAATATTCCACGTCTCTCTCCCCGCCTTGGTCCCACGTAGGTCAGAACCGTGTCCTTCAAGCAGTTGAGCCCGCAGGGGGTTGTCAGCTCCCTGTGCGCATGGCCCTACTTCCCTGGCATTTCCAGGAATCGTTTCTGGGCTCCTGGGTTTTGCCGTGTGAACTCTGTGTCTCTGGCTGAGGCCCGGGGTCTGCTGGAATGACCAGCTTGTGTTCTCAGAGGCAAAGCCAGGACAGTTGGTGGCGTGACAAGAATGTGACCCGTCAGCCTTCCAGAGGTCAGACGGGGTCTGGGCTGGTCACCTTTCCTGAGCAGGCTCTGTGCCCGGTGGGCCACACAGGGGCTCCTCTTCCCACAAGAGGCCATGGTGTGCAAGGCTGGGGCACTCCAGCCTGCTGCACCATGAGAAATGGCCCAAGGCAGGGAGGCCAACTGGGGTGGCCTGGGGGGCCTGCCTGGAGTCTGCCTGTGGGTTCACGGAGGGGGTGGTGCATCTTGGGAGAGCTGCCCCTGCTGATCTCCCTCCTCTCTCACCCACAGTACACGTCGAGCTCCTCTGGCGGGGAGAGCTCCTGTGAAGAAGGCCGGATGCGCAGGCCCACCCAGCTGCGGCCCTTCCAGGCCAGGGCCGCGGCAGAGCCGGACTTCCCCAGCCCTCAGCTGCCCAGTGAGCCCGACTACTCCTCCAGCAGCGAGCAGTCCTGCGACACAGTCATCTACATCGGGCCCAACGGCACGGCCCTGTCGGACAAGGAGCTCACAGACAACGAGGGCCCCCCTGACTTTGTCCCCATCGTGCCGGCCCTGCAGAAGGTCCAGGGCGACAGCCGGCCCGCGGAGGCCAGTGGGGCCGTGGCCAGCAAATCGGAAAGGGACTGCTTGAAGTGCAACACGTTTGCCGAGCTGCAGGAGAGGCTGGGCTGCATCGACGGCAGCGAAGAGCCCAGTCGGTTTCCTTTCGAAGAGCTGCCTGCCCAGTTTGGGGCAGAGCAGGCCAGCAAGTGCGCCCCGTCAGGCCAGGCGGCCGGGGCAAGCCCACTCTGTGCGTCCGACAGGGAAGATGACGGGTCCGACGGCCAGTCCACCGACAGAGAAGGCACCGCCCCTCCTGCCTCCAAGATGCAGAGAAATCACTCGCCCGGCCCAGCCCCTGCCCCTGGCCCCGCGCCGCCCAGCAGCCCCAGCCCTGCCTCGCCCAGGAGCATCCCGGGCAGCAGCAGCGAGCACAGCGCAGCCAGCCTCCAGAGCAGCCGAGAAAGCCTGAACTCCTGCGGCTTTGTGGAAGGCAAGCCCAGGCCGATGGGCTCCCCGCGGCTGGGCATCGCCAGCCTGTCCAAGACCTCAGAGTACAAGCCAACCAGCTCTCCCTCCCAGAGATGCAAAGTCTACACCCAGAAGGGCGTCCTGCCTTCTCCTGCCCCCCTGCCTCCACTGAGCAAGGGTTCCGGCCTGCTCTCTAGTGAGTCCCTGATGCAGCCTGAGGTGCGCACCCCCCCGGTCGGAATGAGCCCCCAGGTCTTGAAGAAATCCATGTCCGCTGGGAGTGAGGGGTTCCCCGAAAGCCCTGGCGAGGACGAGCCTCAGGCATTGACTTCCCCGGATTCTAAGAAGGAGATCCTGAGCACCACGCTGGTGACGGTGCAGCAGCCGCTGGAGCTGAACGGTGAGGACGAGCTGGTGTTCACGCTGGTAGAGGAGCTGACCATCAGCGGGGTCCTGGGCGGCGGCCGCCCCACCAGCATCATCAGCTTCAACAGCGACTGCTCCGTGCAGGCCCTGGCCTCAGGCTCCCGGCCTGTCAGCATCATCGGCAGCATCAGCGAGGACCTGGAGTGCTACTCCAGCGTGGCGCCCGTCTCCGAGGTCAGCATCACGCAGTTCCTGCCCCTCCCGAAGCTGACCCTGGATGAGAAGGCCTGCGAGGCCGGGAGCAGACGTTCATCCATCAGCTCCTGGCTGAGCGAGATGAGCGCCGGCAGTGATGGCGAGCAGTCCTGCCACAGTTTCACAGCCCAGACATGCTTCGGGCACGGGGAGGCCATGGCAGAGCCCCCGGCCTCGGAGCTCGGCGGCAGCATCCAGAACAGTGCTGTGGTGTGTCGGGAGAAGCCCAAGGCAGGCCCCGACAATTTGCTCATCTTGCCTGACGTGAGCGAAGACTCTTTCAACAAGGCGGCCCCCATCAAAGGCTGCAAGATCTCCACGCTGGGCAAAGCCATGGTCACCATCTCCAACACGGCAAATCTGGGTGGCTGCGAGGGCTACATCCCCATGAAGACCAACATTACAGTCTACCCCTGCATCGCCATGAGCCCCCGGCCTGTCCAAGAGCCCGAGGCGTCCATCGCCCCCACCGTCAGCTCAGCGCCCAGAGCAGCACAGACCCAGGACAGCAGGGAGACTGGTGCAAAGACAGAGATGAAATTTGAGGATCCTTGGCTAAAACGAGAAGAGGAGGTCAAAAAAGAGAGTGCCTATCCCAGGGAAGAGGGGACTGGGTGTGAGGCTGCCACAGGCCCCCCGAAGCCGGAGGCCAGGGCAGAACAAGACAGGAAGGCCAGCCCCGGGGACAGGCTGAGCAGCAGCAGCAGTGAGGTGTCCGCCTCGCCAGGGAGCGACACCTTCAGAAGGGTGGTGGATGGCTGTGAGATGGCCCTGCCCGGCGCAGCGGCCCAGAGCCCTGTGCACCCCAACAGGAGCCTCAAGTCAAGCAGCCTGCCCAGGGCTTTCCAGAAGGCCAGCAGACAGGAGGAACTGGGCAGCCTGTTCTACCACTGTGCCGCGGAGACCAACGGGCTGGGCGTGCCCCCCTGCAAGGCGACCCCGGAGAGGAAGGTGGCGTCACCCAAGCACGGAGTCCTGGCTCGGCCCAAAGGGACGCCCCCTCTGCCTCCGGTCCGCAAGTCCAGCCTGGACCAGAAGAACCGGGCCAGCCCCCAGCACAGCGCCTGCAGCAGCAGCACCGGCAGCCCCTCGCACCCCTCGCACCCGCCGGCGCCCTTCCTGGCCGCGTTCCCGGACGAGGCCGGCGGCAGGCTGAAGGAGGCCAGCAGCAGCAGGCTCTTCAGTGCTAAGCTGGAGCAGCTAGCCAGCAGGACCAACTCCCTGGGCCGGGCCACGGTCAGCCATTACGAGTGCCTCTCGCTGGAGAGGGCCGAGAGCCTGTGCGCAGGCAGCTGGCGGGCGCACGCGGGCAAGGACAGCACGATGCCCCGCGCCGGCAGGAGCCCGGGCCGTGGCGGCGC